TAAAATGAAAGGGGCTAAAAATGGAAACCGACACATTCAGAAATGCTTCTAAAATGAGTGCATTTAATTCATGGAAATATATAAATGGCAATTGCTGCCATTGCTAATGTGGATTTTTGAAAAATGAAATAGATCTCTAAAGATACATAAATATTATATCATCAACTCTTCTGACAACCTTCTTAAAAAAAACAGAAGCAGTCTGTTCTTTTTTTACATGTAAACCGATTAACTTATGATAAGGAAAATACTTTATTTTTTCTTTGATCTTATATCTGCACACGTTTTTTTGTTTTAATTTTGAGAGCAAATATTATAAAGATTCTTATATTAAAAATGTCGTTAGAGATTGATAGCATTTCATTATATTAGATAATGAAGTTTGCAACTCATTTCATTTAATGCTTGAGAGTAAAATAGGAAAACATTAAGTGTAATGAGATAGCTAAGAAACCTCAGATCATTAATCTTGGCTATCATATTACCGTCCTTATTCCTAATAAATGGATATAGTTGCATTTTAAGATTAAAATATTTTCCTAACTGTGGTACACAGAGTTAAGAGAAAGAAACACAACGTGAAGCAATTCTATTTATTTAGGAATGTCAAATTGTTTAACATTTGTTTGGCAATAACAAGGCCAGAATTCAGATGGTTGCATTTTCGGTAATGGTTTCCTGTTTTACGCTTTGTTTTAATTACCTCAAATGCAGTTTTAATGTCTTTTAACGGCTTGCCTTCAATGTAGTTTTAGTCTTGTTGTGTCTTTTTTCTTGTACTTGTTCTTGTACCATGACCTTTATATTCAACAAGCTAACCTCAGATAGAGCGTGAGATGTGGCCTTGATGGGGTTCTTTGGGATGTTCAATCCAGGACCCCTTGAATCATTTGATCTGTTGATTTGTTTTTGTTTGTTTGTTTACTTTTTCAACGTTTTCTTTCCACTAAAACAACTTTTTTTAAATTACATTTAACAACTTCTTTTTTGATTCAATGTTTTTTGTGTACATTTAATGTTTTATTGTTGACTTTTAACAACTTTTTTTTGCATT